CCCCTATACCCCCCTATACACCCCACCCCCAACCCCCCCATCCCCAAAAATTTCTCAGCATTTTGGGCTGTACTCAGCAAGCGCAGTACAGCTTCCAACTCAGATCTGAAAAAGAAATAGTGGATGGTTGTTTTCTGACTGGTCAGCAGACCGCCGACGGGTCGGCCCTACTGGTCAGCTGCAATACGGTCGGCGGTCGGGGTCGGCGGTCGGCAGGGATGCAACCATGTCGGGATCACTTATCTGCCGCTGTCCAAGATTGTTATACTTGGCTGTAGACATGTCATTGTCTCTGCAACAGTCGCTGCAATGCAAGGGTTTCTGCATCCGTGTGTGCAGAGGGGTGCCCCTCCTTTGCTGACTGCGTTGCCCCTGCACATGTGGGCATCATAAGTGCATTTTGAGGCCAGGACAGTATGATGAATGAATGTCTCTTCTTTCCTGTCAGCCCTCAGCTGACTTGCCATTTGTTGCGAGTGTTTGGTGGGCATGCTTAATGCTAGCTGCCGTGGCAGCTGTTCTGCTAAGAATACTCAGCCAAGTCTTCACTTGAATAGAGCGTACTGCGAGGATTTTAACCCTTGGCATACCTGCATAAGGCCCCATCAACAGACCCGTGCGCACCCGAAGTGAAGGCGGGCCTCTGAATCCCAATGAGCCCTGAATTCATCAATTTTTGCAAATCTTGGTGGGCGCCACACAGTTGCCACGCGCCAATTGATTACATCCGCCTTGCTGTTGAGAATGTGAAATATTTGTGAGCCTTTGAGGCTCTTCCAGCAACGTGGTGAAAACAGGGAACACCGCATGTTTGCGCCTGGGAGGTTGGGTTAGGCGGGCCTGGGTGCAGACACTTTGGGCGAGAGTGGAGCTACTGGAAACGCGGTCCCACGAGGCAGGCGGCAGGCAGCGAGCCCGACATTTTCCATTTAGGAAAGGGCCGGGCTACACACAAGGCATTCAGGCACTTGCTACTGCAAGCAGCAGTGCTGCTGGAGCGTGTGCTCGTGCCTGAATGCTAGCACTAGGTGTGCAATCGCGACGGTCGAGTGTGAAGCAGGGCGCTGCATCAAGGCAGCGCCATAGGCCAGCCCCCATAGCCGGGCTTGGGCTTGGTTGTAGCTAGTGGAGGGGGTGGTGTTCTTCGTGTGACTGGAGACGTGGGTGAAGAAGACGAGGGAGACGAGAGAGAGAGAGAGGAGGAGGATGTTAGAGCACGTACCTGGTCAATACTTAGTTTGGGATAAAGTAGCTGTAGAATAGTAGTCTCAGTGCTGAGCGCCAGTAGGAGGAAGAACTACTATTGCAGTGTTGGTGGTGGTGAGTATATGCTTTCATTGACAATTGAGTTCGATGCTTTGCTCCTCCTTCGGTGTAACATAAGTGCAATTCTGTTTTCTGGGCAGCATTCAACTTTCTGGCTTTCAATGTGATTTGCAATCTGGAATTCTGTCATTTCGTTATTGCTCATTTTCCTTGCAGTACGGTCATTATTACTATACCTATACTGAAAAATGCCCCAAGTTCAGGTAAAGTGACCATACGTCTAGGCTACCAGAATGGCCCAGGCCTGCTTGCCGAGCCAAGCCTAAAAAAAACAAAACAGAAAAAATTGGGAAGGAATTTCGTTTAGACCCTGAGGCCAAAGTCGTTTTTTTTTTTTCTTTTTAGACTTTTTCTGCATAACACAGTTTTTTTCAGATTTTGTCATTTTTTGGATTCTTTTCTTGCTTTTTTGGCAGGGACCTTCCAAGGCCCTTGCCTGGCCTGGCTGCCTGGGCAGCCAAGATGACCTGGACTTGCCCGGTACGTAGCCCAGCCATACGTTCTATTCGGGGGTGATAGTAGGCCTTTTGTGCCCTCACCTCTACCGTTCATGTCCTCTCCTCTCTGTCAACAAGGACAGGCTGACTTCCAAGTCTTCTCGTATCCTTCGCTATGCTCTTATCCTTTCCCTATGCGCTCATCATGTCTTCCTTTGCTTTGCCTCCCTTCCATCTTTCCTCTGCCTTTATTCCCTCGCCGTTTACTCTCCCTCTTTTCCGCAGTGTGCTAGTGGGTTGTGAGTGATGGTACATGGGGATGTTGGCAGCTCATGCTCAACTATATCAATGGGGCGAGCCTTGTAGGTGAAAGTCACAGTAAAGGGGGAGCTAGAAGACGAGAAAAAAAGAGAAAACGTGACGAAAAAACAAAAGAGGCAGAATAAGGAAAGAAAGAAAGAATCTCACATGAAAGGGCAAACGGTTGGTTGCCGTGTGCTTCATGGTGTCTGCTAGTTTCTTTGTTTGTTTTGCAAAGTGCGCCCTTTTAGTCGATAGGTATATCTCAATAAATATATTTAGGGCTTATTCACACTGTTGCTGTCCTGGTATTTGACCATCTTTATGGACAATCCAGAGATGAACAAAACCTCGCTCTCTCTCTGTCTCTCTCTCTGATATATCTTGTTGTCTTATGCAGGCACTCAAAGTCGATGAAAAAGATGGCAGGCAGCTGTGTTGATTGTGCTGCTGGAAAATCTGGTCAGATTCGCACTCACACTATTAGCAGTCAGAAAAAAACAGCAGTGAAGTATAAAGAATGCGAATTCGCTTTTCAAAGCTTTCGGCGACGGAAGTACCAAGCACGGACGTGGACTCATACCATTGATAGCCAGACTGAGGAGGAATCTGAGGAATCTGAGGAATCTGAGACGGAAGAATCTGCGTCCAGTAGCGACAGCAGTGGGAATGACAGTGCCGTTCTTCCCCGTGGTGAGTATTCTCGGAGGAGAAGGGGAGAGTGATGGTGAAGGTGATGTTGGATTTACTTTCCACTGTCACAGAACTGGTGGAAGGGAAGATTCATTTGTTACCAAGACAAACAATGCCATTGTCATGACACACACAGTTGTGAGTCTGAGAAACGTGCATTTTCCTCAGAATATTTCTGCCCTCCTGTTTCTTAGATTTGCGAGTTTAAGTCTGTTTTCCTGTGTTTCATGAGTCGTGTACCCATCTTATAATGTATGCATGCCCAAGTTCTTGGCTATTCAAGATCTGAGCCGAAGTCTGTGTATGAATGCTAACCCTGTTCTCATGCTGTGTTTGTGTCCCAGGAGGGGTAGAGTGAAACGAAGTTGTGATAGGGGCAGGACTGCAATTTGGACATCGGATGGACTGCAGGAAATTAGATCAGACGGGTAGAGGTAGAATTTGTCAGGAACCCAGTAGGGGTGTTCCAGTAAATTGGGTGCGCCCAGAGGTCCCGTAGCAGGGTACTGGTCTGTATTTAGTTAGGATAAGGTTTAGGTATGGGTCCAGGAGGTAGAATGATGCTCCCGCTGAAAGGACGGAATTGATAGGCCAAGTTGCACAGCTGACAGGTCCAGGTGTAATGACCTACCAAAGACGGACTGAGACACACAGCTGATTCCTGGGTTTTGCTCGTGGAATGTATGCCTCGCTGAGTTTTCTAAGTCTGTGTGTGTGCATGCTTGCTGGTCTGCATGCCTGTCTGAGTGCTTGTCGGTTTGAGTGTGTGTGTGTGACCCGCAAGGGCACTTGTTCATTCAGAAGGCCCGAAGGGCTGGTACTTACCTGTGGCCGTGACGTGGAGGGTTGCAGTGGGGAAAACACTGGCGGGGAAAGAGGCCTGCGACACTTGGAGCAGTGGAAAAACACTGGGGAAAACACTCAAGGCGGGGAAAGAGGCCCGCGACACTTGAAGCAGCGGAAAAACACTCAAGTACCAGGTAAGCCGTTACCACACCAGGTAGAGGTAGTTGTGCCGGGTACTCGAGGACGAGCAGAAGAAGAGAAAAGTTGGCATTTTTAGAGGCCCAGTAGTTGTAGGCTACGTCTAGGCGGGTACCAGTCCAACCAGTCTGAGTCTTGGGGCTGTACGGGCAATATCAGAGTCTGCAATGATGTTTCCGGTTGCTTGGAGGCCGCGCGGCCTAGGAAGTTACTTGCCAAGAGGCAAGCAGGCCGCCAAGAGGAGCAAAGTGCTCCTCCTCATTGTCGGTGTGCAAGTTTGGCGACACACTGGTTGGAGCGCTGGCTGGAGCAGCACTAGCATCATAGCAGCGCTGCTGGGGAGGAGCAAGGACAGGAGGAGGAAGAAGACCAGGACTAGGAAGGAGGAGCGCTAAAGGTACTTACCTGGCTACGGTAGATGCCATCATCATCACCTTGGTGGACGCTGCATCTTGAAGGTCCCGCTGGGGTAGAGCTACACCAAGAGGCTTCAAGGCAGAGTCAGGCATGAGGGCCCGAGCTAGAGCAGCCATAGCTGCTTTGTGTTGTCCTTTCCACAGCAGGGCAGTGCCCTGGCAGTCCGCCATAGCCTCGGCCGTGGAAGGAGGAGGAAGAAGGGTGGGCATGGCTATGGTGGACCTCATGTGATACCTGCTGTAGACGAGGGACTCGGACATTGATTCTTGTTCAACCATTCAACATGATTATTATTATTTCTTGTTTGAATAAGAGGGGAGGAGATCTATGTATCACCCGCGGTCGTGACCGCGGGCCATTGACCGCACGCGGTCGGCATCCGGACCGCAGCGGGCGGCGCCCACGACCAAGTGCGGTCGGAAAACCCCAACATTTTTAAATCCTGGGATAATAGGCCAAAAAATAAACTAAAAATATGGGGTTGTAGGGTTTTGTGCGCTCTACAACCGTATCTTTTTAGTTTTATTTTTTGACTTCTTTTTCGATTTAAAAAAAAATGAAAAACAGAAATCCCTCAGGCAAAAGTTCTTCAATTTATTCTTTTAGTAAGAAAAATAAAGGATTTTGTTTGATTTTTATCGCAAATTTGGTAACGAATTTTGATATGACCCTAAGGCAAAAGTTGTTCAGTTTATTTTTGGGCATAACATATAATTTTTTTCAGATTTTTCAGATTCCTTTTTTTTTCTTTTCTTTTTCTTTTTTTCATGACCGCGGACCGCGGTCGTGACTGCGGCCTTGCGGCCGAGACCGCGGTCCGCGGTCTTGCCCGCGGCGACCGCGACCGTGGGGGATTCATAGGAGGAGATAAGGAGGAGGAGAGTGGTTGGTGAAGAAGTAGGGAATTCTCATTGGTCTTTGCTGGTGTACATCTTCTTCTTAGAGTGGTTGGTGAAGAAGTAGGGAATTCTCATTGGTCTTTGCTGGTGTACATCTTCTTCTTATCTATGTATCACCCGCGGCTGCCGCCGCTGGGTCAAACTCGGCGGATGGCGGTGAACACGGCCGCCGCGGCTCCGGCCGTGGTTGGGTGCAGCCGCGACTTTCAGGAATTTTTTGAGACTTCAAAAAATTATCCAAAAAAAAAAACAAAAAACATGATGCAGCCGCGACTTTCAGGAATTTTTTGAGACTTGAAAAAAAAATCCAAAACAAAACAAAAAACATGATGTTGTAGATCTTTTCGAGATCTACGTTGCGCAATTGTGTTTCTTTTTTTGACTTCGTCTTTGAATTTTAAAAATTCAGAAACTAATTTTCCTGCGGCAAAAGCTGTTTTTTTTTTTTTTTTCTAAGAAGAACTATGAAAATTATGTATTTTTTAATTTCAAATTCAGTAAAGTTTTTGGATATAACCACAAGGCAAAAGTTGTTCAGTTTATTTTTCTGCATAACATATTTTTTTTCCAGAGTTGGGGGCTGTACTGCGTTTGCTGAGTTGGGATAATAATAAAAAGTGCTGTTGCAATGAAAACAAGAATATTAACTTTAACCGTTTAACGTTATTTGGTACTGTATATAAAATCTGGAATACACGAAAAAAATACCACTCAAGGAGACTTTCAAGGGGAGTGGCGAATGGGTTTGCAGGTTCACCGATCATTGAAGGATTGAGAACAGCTAATTCTATTGTACAGGCAATAGTACCTAAAAGCACAACTGGAAAAATATAAAGTAAGTCATTAGGCGAAGCAACTTTGTTTGATTGTTTTTCTTCATTCTAGTTTGTAGAACATATTGAATGTTTTTTTCTAGTGGCGGGCGTATACGTGGTCAGTAAGCCACGGCTGAATTCGTGCTTGATGTCAATAGCAAGCCCGAGACTTGAGAATCCACGCTGCACTAGATTGCCTGAGAAGGTACTCAGGGGTCGGGAGTTGTGTTTTCACTCCCTCCGAACCGCACATGATAGTTTCCCATCGCTCCTCCTTGGTCAAAAACTGCGACTGCAGTTTCCACTGCTGCGATTTCCAGTGCAGCAGTTTCCACTGCTGCGGTTTTCACTGCTGGGGTTTCCTCTGCTGCTGTTTCCACTGCTGCAGTTTCCTCTGCTGCGGTTTCCTCTGCTGCGGTTTCCACTGCTGCAGTTTCCACCACTGCAGTTTCTACAGCTCCGGTTTTCACTCCGGCAGTTTCTGCTACTGGCGTTTCCACTGCTGCATTAGTTTCTGCTGCTGCAGTTTCCAGTGCTGCGGTTTCCACTGCTGCGGCTTCCACTACTGCAGTTTCTACTGCTGGAATTCCTAGTACTCTACGTTTTGCTGCTACAGCTTCCTCTGCTGCATCTCCAGCACAAAGAACATCAGAGATTCTCCGACACACATCCGTTTCGAAATCTTGCCCTATCCACCCCCCTTTCGTCACTTTCCGTGCTTGGCCGCAGATGGCTGCCTTCCTTCTCGCCACCCCCATCTCCTCCACGGTCTCGCGTGCTAACAGACTCTCTGGTTTCCATTGTTCCCATTGTTCCACCTTTGTTGCCAGGAACATGTTCATCTTCTGTTTGCAACACCACTACTCTTGTTGTGTATCGTCGACGACATGTGCGACATCGTCACTTCTCCGGGGATCAGCAACCTGTTTCTTTGTCTGCCCCAATTCACTCTGTGCCTGCTCCACAGGTTGTTGCAGTTCCTTTGTTCCAAACAGCAATATCCGCTCCTATGCCTCCTGTAGACAGTCCAGCTGCCTTCAGGCAGCCACAGCACCATGTTTTATGCCCTTCAGCTTTAGATATGCATGACTCACCTGTACAACTGCATGTGGTCCCTGCCCAAAGTACACTCCCGATTCCAGGGACAGCCCTTCTCAGGATCCAGCCTCAAACGTTGAGGGATTGGAACATGATCTGCCCGGATTGCAGTTAACCCCACAAGGCGTAGATTACATGGGGGATCTGCAAATGGCTGACCAGCATCATTTGGATGAACCACAAATTTGTGCCCCACCACCCGCAGACCACACGGGTGATCTGCAAATGACTGACCAGCAAGCAACTCAACACAATTTTGGGATTGCAACACCAACTGGGTGATCTGCAAATTGTTGGCCAGCATCCGGCACACCAGCCTGAGATCCTCACCAATCTCTGCGGTCTGACTGCAGCTAATATCTGTCTTCACTTTCTCCACCGTCGGTTTTATACACCATCATACTTCCTTGCAATCGTCCTTCAGCTTGATGCTGATCTCCCCCGCCTACAGCCAAAGGATTGTAATTATACCAGGGAAAGAGGCCTTACCATTGCAGCCCTACAAGTAGCAATGAGGGATCGCGAGCTTGAGCTATGCAATGCTCGAGCAGGTGAGTGGTTTAATCCTCCATCCCACATCTCTGCCTGCATTGTGCACGGACCTGGCCATTACGTGGCCATTGTATGTACCTCTGACCATTGGGAGTTGTAGGACAATGGCATCATGGTCCATGCCATGAGCAATGTTACCGATTTCTTACATAATGATGCTGTTTTCTTGCCACACCACACTGTCCGCAATCTCTTTTATGTTGACGATCATTCCTCTGGCCCTGTGCTGCAGCAGGAAAATCTACCAACACCGTGTGACCTTCTCCTTTGCACTGCTTCAGGCACTGTTACACTCGGCTGTAGCCGCCATCGTCTCTGTCGCAGTCACTACAATGACATGGTTTCTGCATCTTTGTGTAGAGGGCTGTCCGCCCGTTCCGGACTGCAGGCACCGTCCGCATCCGGACACTATATGTCCATTTGGCGGTCATGGGAGCTATACTGAATGCATTGTTGTTTATGGTTGAGCGTTCTTTCTTCATTTTGGCCTGCAATGGACATGCCATTTGTCGGCAGTGTATGTTGGGCATGCTCAATGCCAGCCGTCGTGGCAATTGTTGTGCTGAGAATGCTCAGCTAGGTCTTCCATGTGCCCATCCACCTCATCCTTAGAATGTGTGTGCTCTCTGTCGTCAAGGACAGACTCATTCTTGAGCCTTTTCTTATCCTTACTTTCCCTTTTTCGTTTTTCTCTTCTCTTCATCTCTCTTCCCTGTGTTTATCACCTCCCCCTTTACTCTGCCTCTTTCTCACAGCGTACAAGTGGGCCATTATGGCACATGGGGATGCGGGCAGCTTGCGCTCAACTTCATCAACGTGGCAAGCCTAGTACATGAGAGGCACGGTGAAGGGGGAGTTAAAAGAAGAATGAGAAAAATTAGTAGTTTTTGTGCCCCTCAACTTTGTGTTGCTTTTTATCTTTACCATTTGTTTCGCCAAAAATGCGCTATTTTAGTTCATAGTTATGTGACAATATATATGCATAATCTTTTGTGGTGAATGTTCTTCCTTGATTTTGGCCTGCAATCGGCATGCCATTTGTAGGGGGTGTATGGTGGGCATGGTCAATGCCAGCCGTCATGGCAATTTTGTACTGAGAATGCTCAGCCTGGTCTTCGATGTGTCCATCCCCCTAATTGTTACAATGTACGTCCTCTCTGTCGTCAAGGACAGACTCATTCTTGACCCTTTTCTTATCCTCTCCTTTGCCTTCATCATCGTTCCACGCACTGTACTTTGCCAGACTCATTCTTGACCCTTTTCTTATCCTCTCCTTTGCCTTCATCTTCGTTCCACGCACTGTACTTTGCCTTACTTTCTATTTGTCGTTCTTTGTTCGTCTTCTCCCCATCTAACTTCTCTGTGTTTATCCCTCTGCCTCTTTCTCACAGCGTATAAGTGGGCCGTTAGGGCACACTGGGATGCGGGAAGCTCAGTGCGGGCAGCTCACACTGAGCTTCATCAACGTGGCGAGCCTTGTACGTGAGAGCCACAGTGAAGGAGTTAAAAGAAGAGTGAGAAAAATGAATAGTTCTAGTGTGCCCTTCATGTTACTGTTGTCTTCTTACTTTTACCGTTTGTTTTGCAAAGTGCGCTCTTTTTTTTCATGGATATGATGGATATTTATATCCATATACATATGGAGAGAGAGAGAGAGAGAGAGAGAGAGAGAGAGAGAGAGGGGATGGGGTCTGTCTCGGGGTCTTAGGGTGGAGTTGGTGTCTGGGTCTGGGTCAATGATGTGGGGTCTCATGTCTGGGTCTTCGGGTGGGACTCTGGCTTTGTTTGCAGCTGGATCCAGGTTGGGTTGTGATTCAGGTCTGGGTTTAGGCAATTGGCACCAAGGGAAAGTGTTCCAAACAGCTTTGAATCCACATCGGCAAATGCATCAGTTTTGATTTTGATTGCAGCCGGAGCCACAACAGGTCTAGTCCGGTTGAGGTGTGATGCGTGACATTGTTTCAAAGTTGAGTCTTGCATTAGGAGTTGAGCAGGATTATAGCAATGTATGGCATTGTCACAAAGTTTAGTCTTGCATTAGGAGTTGAGCAGGATTGTAACACCATGCATGGCCATGACAGTAGGGTGGCCTACCATCACTGGAAGTCAGTGAAACGGTATTCACCAGTTCGCAGTAGCTGATGCAGATCCCAGGGCTCGATCCCTAGTTCCCCACCTTACCTGTGTACAGTACCTGTGTCAACCCGTAGAGTTGAACCTGCGACCTGTAGGATCGCCAGTGGTAGGTAGGACATCGTAGGTTATAGGGTATAGGGGATTTGAACTGTAGACCTGTTGGGTAGGAGTCTAGACAGTCCAGAGGTCTCAGCTGTAGACTTTCCGAAGGGTCAAGGTCGTAGCTGCTACTTACCTGAAAGGGCAGAGTCGTAGCTGCTACAGTCCCGAAAGGCCAAGTAGAGGTTTCTAGAAGTGGCCTTTCGGAAGTCAGCCCACTGTAGGTCCAGGCAAGTGGGCAAGTGGTGGAGGTCCACCACGCAGAGTCAGCAGTCCCAGTCCAGTCAGTCTGGTCCAAGTCAAGCAAGTACCGTCTGGGACTGTGCACACCGTGGGCCAGGGAAACAGGGCAGACCAACGAGTCACGGAAGTATAAATCAAGAGGCCGCGCACAGCCATTCATTCATTCCTGCGGAAGCCATGCGGAAGTGCTGCCTCAGCGTCTTGTGCGAGGAGGTCTGCAGTATGCCCGAAGTCGAAGTGGGCCAGAGGAGCGTAGCATAGAGATAGTGTAGAGGCAGCCATCGCTGCCATAGCTATAGTCAGTGTGTGTGTGTGTGTTGTGTGAGAGTGCAGAGTGAGGCGTGTGGGATATCCAGGGTGATCCAGTGTGTGTGAACAGTGGGTTGTTGGGCGCTGAGTCGCCATAGCAAGTGGAAGTGAACTCTTACCTGGAAGCCATATCTCTGAGTACTGTGTGGGCGCATGTCGCCAGTTTGCTGTGCTGCTGTTTACATACATGAAAAGTGTGAATGAGACGAGTCTGATTGCATCAGAATGGGAAGGGTAATGAGAACAACACATTGCTGGAGGCAGGGGTTGCAGAAAATCAGCGGCGTTGTGAATGGTGATCCTCACCTTGCGGAAAGGATTTCAATTGGGGTGGAAATCAAGGAGAAGGCAGGAGAACGCAAGTTCTGCTGACCTGATGAAGCCTGAGGCTGTTCTTATGTCCAGGGCTCGAACTGGGGCTGGACGAAGCTATGATCCCAGTTCCCAATTGGCCGGCTTACTAACACCGCAGCAGCATGCTGCTTCTTCTGTGCATGATACTCCCACGTTTGCAGATGTGGAAACATGTGACAATTGTGAGGCAACAGCAGATGCTATAGCCACAAGAGATGGGAAAGCTCAAGTACTAGAGACGACAGTAGAACAGAACCCGCAGTTTTGAGATAACTGGATGGATAACAGTTACATGTGTTTCTCTTTTACCCAAGCTGCTGCACCCTGCAAATGACGAACAAGTTTTGTCCTTAACAGCACTTGGAAGGTGCTCGACTGATTCACGTCTTGTCTGACTTGGATTAGTGAACCGTATCAAATGGACAAGAAAGAGATATCGTTCCCTTTCACCTGTGCTCCATCGATTCACGACTTGTGCGACTTGAATTAGTGAACCAGGTGCTCAGTTAATTTGTATTCGATGAGCATGACCCTGAACTCGAACCCTGGTCATTATTGCTCTATCGAATGCAACTGTCAGCCCATGTGCGGATCGGTGTTGTGTCTG